CTGCCTGCTCTCTCTCCCTGGTATTTGATCATTTGCCTGTGCAAGATTTTTGAACGCGTATGCGAATGAGGAATAGTCTGGAGCCTGCATGTGCGTTACGTTAGCGTTTGTTTTTGTATGCGGTGTCTGGGGTAAAAACAGCATCAATTCGTCGCACCGGTGAGTTGAAAACACGATATTTTTTTAAAGTTAAAATTTTACAATCTGGCCCGCCAAAATGCAGTATTACATTTCATATTAATCATGGGCAAACTGGAAAGCAAAGGAGTATTATTGAGAATACGTGGACGTTATAATTACGATGATCGTGAAAATACGTAATGCACGTTGGAAATAACAACACCAACTACACGATAAAAGTCCATTATTAGCAAATTGCGATATCGAATCAGGATACAGGAAGAAATTTTCCTATCCAGGGCTTACTATTGGAAACGAGGTTTGAAATAAAGTAAGCACTGGGGACGAGGCTGGAGCTACGGCTATAGGCTACATCCAATGATAGCGCATAATTATGTTCTCACGTACAAAATGTAGCTGTATTACTGTCAAATTATAGGTTTTGCCCTTCACCGACCTTTAAACACGTCGGTGAAGGGCAAAACCTATAATTTGATTTATCACCCCGACGCAAAAATTCCATCTTATAATGTATTACTGTCGGGAACCTGGAGAGCTTTCCAGACACTGGGTAGATTTGGAGACGGTCTTTCTTTTACAATTATAAGTCAACTCGCCCGGTACAGTCTTACCTTCTTGGTCGACACAAGAGAGCAACCCTTGACAACAGCTTTCTTTCCAAGCTTTCTTGACGGCCCGGAGAACTCACCGTAACTCGCAAAAGAAACTTTCCATAGTGTCATGGTGTCACTGCCAAAATCAAATTATTGTTTATAAAGCCCATATGCCAATGCTATTAACCCTCAGATCGTGCAGAGAGCTTATGCGTTCGATGTGACGTGAATCTAAATAAGTCTTGGAGAGGTAAACCATAGGCACACCCCCCCCCCCCCTACTATAAGAATCAAGGGAATTATGACACATTTCCGATGACAAACCCGCTAAACCCAAAGCTTGAACTTCTTACCGTCATTGGTTCGCATCGGGGAAACCTATAAAAGATTAATTGTGCTGAAAATCTGGTTTTCAAATTGTCGCTATAGACCTCCTGGCGATGGCGGATAGGCCTAGTTTAATAATTCCAACTCAGACCACCAACGATTCATTCCATTGATCGTTCCGGCATCATTCGTACCGCACTTTGCGAAGGACGCTCGTGTCGCTAATCTCTTTGGGATTTTGTGCTGGAAACCTAATTTGCAACATTATATTGGGGGTTGTTGACCACTATATTCCAAAATGCACGTATAGGCCAACGTACTGTATACGTTTACTACACGCGTACCAAAAAAACATGACCCAATAGAAACCTTGTCCCCATAGGGCTTCGCTCGTACCCCCCGCCCTGCAATTAACAGGGCGCTGGGAAGGGTAGATGAGCTTCACAGAATCTTGTGAAGGAAGTGGGGATGGCATTCTGGGTAATTTATCATGACCTATGTATATAAAGCATCTGGCTGCAGCTGTAGACCGCGGTTAGCCAATGCGCGCAAATACTATCCGAAAAGTTTGCCACAGAAATGCATACACACCATACCGGATGTGATTTCTTTTCATTGCGAACCATGTGGACACAATTTTGAGCGTCGAATCCGTGCATTTCGTTGACCCTTCGTGAATTCGAAACGGAGCCTGAGCAACCGTGACGGGAGTTGAACATTTACAATACAGATAAGTTTGACAGATTTTCCTACATTATTATGCTTTTCAACCAAAAAGGGCATCGCATTTATGAATGGGAATAAAAGAGATCAGTGATGAGTGACTCAGTCTTAGCGGCCGTTTCAAACCTTGCAGGGTCGTGGCCGTGATGACGTGCAGGTCACAGGTCACGCAAAATCTATCCAATCAGAGCATTAATTCGTCAGCCCTTCCCAGCGTCCTGTTTGCAAGGCGGGGGGTATACGAGCGAACCATAGGGCTTACTTTATTTGCAACCTCGTTTTCAATACTATTAAGGGGCCATTAAAAGTTTTCAATGTTTTTAAAAAATTTTTTATAGAAATTGTGGGTGGGTGTGATCAAGTTAAATTGAAAATCGAAATACACTTTTCATAGAAAAAGCAAACAAAAGCCAAAAGAAAAAAAACCAGATCTTGTGACTTTCCGGAACTATACGTGCCAGCATTCCGATGCGCGTTTCTTTTAATTCTTCCCCGTTTACAGCCAAAATGACCTGTACTGTTTTTTTTTAATATTGGCAGTTTCCTCTTTGTTTCAACTTCAAAGTTGCTTGCTGGAAGCCTAGAAAAGCCAATGAAAACTCCTGAGCTGGGAGAGCATCGACCTAAATATCTGGTTCATTTGAAGCATTACTTTGATCTTCGGTGTATAGGATATATTGAATAGTCATTCAACATTAAAAAAAACCCCGAAATTTGGGGTGGGTGGGTGGGTCAAAACAATTTCGAGGGGAAAAAAAATTCGAAATTTAAAAACATTTATAATTTTGAATGGCCCCTAACCCCTGGGTAGGAAACTTTCTTCTGGTATCCTGATTCGATACCTACTTCTAGCGATTTTATTTTTAACGTTCAAATTTGGCCTACGTGTTTTGAAGGGCCTATGACATGAATTTTACCTGGGAACATAGTTTTTGCAACTTTGGACTCCTCTTAAATATACGAAACTGACTATTTGACATCCCTTTTTGGTTAATCTTATTGAAAAGTGTACTTCTTTAATCTTTAAAACATTTAAAATTGTCCTTTCTTTTCTGGACACATTTAAATGAGGGCGCTGTTGCTGTGTAGGGGTTTTCGGTACAAATTGTGAATATGTTTCGAACGAGCACATTTTGGGCTCACAATTTGTACAGAAAATACCTCAACTGAACAGTGTCTTCCTGAACTTGATATCACAGCAACAGCGCCCTCATTAATTATTGTCCAGAAAAAGCATGGACAATTATAAATGTCTGCACTTTTCAATAAGATTAACCAAAAAGGTATGTCAAAAAGAACATATTTAAGAGGAGCTGAAAGGTGCACAACACATATGTTTCCACAGGTAAAATTCATGTCATGAATGATAAAAATCACCAGAAGTAGGCCTACTATAAGTATTACTATTACGTCCACTCCTCCTCGAAAACAATGCTCCCTTTCCCTTTACTTACAATGATAATTTTTATGTAATGTATGGGTACGAATCCATTATAACTTTGAATAAAGAATCGTGTCTTCGGATCTCACCCAGCGACGACTTGATTCCGTATTTATCCAAATTTCGAATTTAGCTTGCGATCATCTCCCAGATAATTTCGCTCGTACCCCCCCCCCCCCCCCCGCCCTGCATCAGGGCGGGGGTTCAAGCTAACCAGATAACAACTTGGATCAATCGAAATAAGCAGTGGATGGACCGGGAACCAGTCTAGGTCTCACCAACTCTCCTTTTCTGGCCGTTGAAGGGGTACTTGTCTTGTGCACGAACCCCATAAGGGTGCAGACAAGTAAATCGGTCCGAAATTGCCTACGCCGGCCAAATCACGATTTGCATGCCCTCAAAATCTTCAGTATTTGAGCATGCTGTGGGCCATGAACTTGAGGGTTTGTAAAAAATATGGGTGGAAGCCGTGCACAGGACTGGGAGCTTGCAGTTAATTTGGATGTACTTTGGACCCTAAAAGCGCTCTATTTTGCAATGGAGTGTAGGCATCGTTTTTCAAAATGGCGATGGGCTTCAGGACTATTTTCAGGGGTGATCATCTTCAGATGGAAATTTCTCCTAAAAGTCGTCAGTTGACCCCCCCCCCCCCCCGAAAATTGAAAAGAAAATGAAAGATGATGAAATAAGCTTTAATTTGATGTGTGTCTCGAACACCTTGGAGAGTTGTGAGTATTTTTGCCGAATTTCTGAATTGGGAGCATTTACCATTGGGGTCTATGGAAGTTTATTTACTGGTCTGCTACCATAATGTGTGTCACCGGCGCGTATTAACGCACGAAGCTGAATGACAAATTTATGGCTGCGCCCAGCAGGCATGGTCTGGAGTTTGCCAAGTTGATTGAGGTATCGATGTTTGTTTTTACGAAAGATATTCTGAAAGCCCATAACAAAAACACTGAATCGGAAATATTGATGGACATGCGACCCCCCCCCCCCTCCCCCCAGTTTTGTACGCTTTTGAAAATGTGATAATTATGGAGGCCCCTTACCTCGGGGAAAAAGTACTTAACCCATAATGGCAAAAGATAGAGGGCTCACTTCGGAGAATTCTGGGGACAGGAAATTGGTGCGCCCTCTATTGGCCCGGCGAGACACGCAGTATAAGCTAGCTCGGTTGGGTCATCTTTAAGATGTTGAGCACGTACGGGCTGAAATTTGATATGATTTCTTTTCAATCGTCACATATTAAGTTACAAATAAATGAAAATTATGTGCGGAATATGCAATGATTTGGAATAATCAGATGATGAATCGGGGAGGGGGGGGGGGGGCAGAAAACCCATTTAATTGTACAATATAGGTCTACTTATGCCTATGGCCGGCCGGAGCTGTGTGATAATAACGCAGTTGAATCCGAATAACAAAATTACTAAATATAGAGGAATCGAAGTTGCATGCTTTAAAAGCAGGAAAATAAGATTTATCGATCCATATATGGTTTATAGAGAGAATTTTTTTTTTAAAAGTGACCTTTATTCAAAGATTATGATATCATGACAGATCACATGCGACAAAGACTGCAGTAAATGGTACAGCTTGAACTTTTTCACTAATATTTAATGACAAAATTTCACCAATGCTTACTTTAACAAAATAGTTACGAGAAAAAGAAAATCCTAACTTGGGCCATGCAATTTACATCTAGCTGTGAATTTACATAAAGGTCAGAGGGGAAAGTTTTTATACATCGAAGATATGCTAATTGTACTGGTCACGTGGTACATCATTCAGCGCAGCCATATTGGAATCGAACACGTACAGAAAGTTGAGATTGGAATTTTGCAGTCAAATTTGAACGAAAGAAAGGTAGATTTTTCAAGAGATCCTACTCGTATAAGCCTGCTAATAGTCGTCAGTTTACGTTCAGGTATATTAGCCTTTATTAATATCCTGGTTGTGTGATAATCTGCCGTTATTATGAGGCGTATGGAGGTTTATTCTGGTCCGACGTGCTCGTGTTGTGAGTGAATGCGAAGTGAGGGCGGTGCATTTTGTATTCAGTTTGTGCACTGTTTTGGTGTCAATGTGTGTGTGAACGAACATGACGAAGTGTTGTACGCTATGCGCACTGTGCATACGGTACACGCTGTACTGAAATTGTGAAAAGTGTATTGACGTACTTCTTCAGTTCTACCATAGGTTCCTTGCTCTATGGTTCTACTTTTCGAAGTTCCAGGCCAAATTTCTTAAGTTTTGCTCACAATTTTAAGTCAGAAGGGACTAGCATGACTAGGTAGGATACTCTTCCTTTTTTTTTCTTACTAGTTCTTGAATCTTGTGTTATGATTGATTGTTTGTAGACCTAGGCTAGTAACTAAGTCAAGTAGACCTAGGTGAAATATGGCCTACTGATTACTGTCCTGTCAATGCCTGTGGCTGTGCTCTCCCCCTGACTCTGTTAATTGAATTGTCATGACCATCTTTTGTTATTAAACATTTAGACTAGGAAATAAGTTCGCATCCTGACCTCACTTTTTTTTCATCATTTTCTCAAATGAAGGTCAGTCTATGAGCCATTTGCAAAAATGTTGAAAAGACATGAATCTGGGACTGAGAAAAATTTCCAATTTTGTTAGAAAATACTTTGAAAATGCACCCAACTCTCCATAGACTTTGTACACAACCCAAAAAGTGGCGTCAGGATACTACATTAATTCCGGCCTTAATTACATTTTTTTTTAGCAGGCATTGATTGACACAACTTTTGCCAGATTTTTAGTTTATGTCTTACACAAAAAGAGGAAGCCTTTACTAGACTAGTCCGACTGCCTCTGTCTTGGGCTCCTCTTTAACCCTAACTCCCTAGGCCATTTTGCTAGGATGTAGCCTCAATCCTGCAAAATCCTCCAATTGGCCTCATGGAAAAATAGCATATAGCCTCAATCCTGCAAATTCCTCAGCTATTTCTTGAATATGGTCCATGGAGGGGTGATCACTGCCTGAATCCTGCAAAATCCTCCGGCTATGACTGTCAATAGGCTGAGGCAGAGGCAGTGACATCCTGGAGCAGTGCGGAGGATGTCAAGTATAATCAAGGGCTAAATTTATGCACGGCTGAGCATAAACAACACAAGGTCCGGCCCAAGACCTTGACACAGTGCGTACGTCGAAATAGCAACGCACTTTTGCCATGTAACCTCAATCCTGCAAATTTCTCCAATTTGCAAAAAGGATTTTGGAGGATTCAGGGCGGTTAGGGTTAATGACTCGTGCCTAGACTAGTCGCCTATAAACACGATAAATGTCAGACTACATGTATAAGACCATCATCAAACACTAAATATCATGTTAGCAAATTCGCTTACTGGAAAATGTATGATTTCTCGCTTCTTGAAAGTCGTACTGTTTTTTAGAACATCATTAACCCTAACCTTTCCAACTCCATCAAATCCATCCCCCCTACTGTAGGTAGCATTAACTCATAACATTATGTAAAGAGATACATATGTAAGCTAGCTGTGTCAGAAAATCTCAATGTTTCAACATACACAATGTACCCCACATTCCAACAAACACCCCACTCTCCCCTTGTCCCCTACATGTTATTACAGGTAATAAACAACATAAATTTGCAAACATCAAATAACAAAACTACCAAATTATTATTGGACTATAAGTGAATAATTCCTAAGCATCCTCTGAAATGATGACACCTGGTGTGCTGTCATTTAGAAGAAAAGGTTTTTTTATATCAATTTCCAACGATGGTGGGCCGACCATCAATGGAAAAAAATGATTTTTTTTACTTCAAATACTGCCACCAATTTACCAAATTTCCTTAGTCCACATTTTGTTTGCAAGCGGTTACATATCCATGAATTTGTGCAAGCCAGCTAGTCTGGTCCCTGACCTGATAATTCCCTGACATCTATAAATTGCTCCGTTTCGTCTGCATTAGTTGGGTCAGGGAACCAGGTTACAAGAACAACATTTTTTCTTGGTTTTCCCAGCATCTATGAACACAAAACTTTAAAGGGAGTGTACATCATTGGCTTTTGCTGTAATTTTCAGAAATGAACTATTTGAGGGGTTAGTTTAATAGATCAAATATTGTTACACTGACATGTTTGAAGTTTTGTGTTCGAAAATGCTGGAAAAAAAACAAAGAAAAACAAAAATGTTCAAGTAGTCTGGTTCCCCCTGACTCCACTAAAGATGAAATGGATCAATTTATAGATCCCGGAAAATTGTTAGGCAAGGGAACCAGTCTAGCTGGCCTGCACCCATTCATGAACATGTTACCAATAGCAAACAAAAATTTTGACTGAAAAAAAAAATGATAAATTTGGAGCAGTAGTTGAAAAATAGTTAGGTTTTTCCAACGGTGGTCGGCCAGCCACTGTTGAAAAATGTTTACAAAAATACCTCTTTCTTGAAAATGACTGCATGCCAGGTGCCATAATTTTACAGGATGCTTTAGACTGTCATTTACCAACATCCAATAAGGTATTTCGTAAAAACTTGGTAGTTTTGTTTTTCGATGTTAGCAAATGTTGTATATTCCCTTTAAACAGGTCAGTGTATCAATATTTGCTTTAAAATACTAAAATACTAAACCCCAAATCCATCCATTTCTGAAAATTACAGCAAACACAAAAGTTGTATACATTACATGTACCTTTAACTCTCCTGAATTGGCAAAAACCCAACAATTTGGAGCTCTCCTTTCATGGGACCACTAACTGTAGGCCTACGCAAGTTCATGATGTAAAGATCATTCCCAACTGTATGTACACGTACCTGTACATGTACATTGTAAGCATACATGTACCGGTAGTGTTAATTTTTAATACATTTTTTACACATGCTATGTGTTAGGGATAACATTTCTGAACAAAATTGTACCTTTGTTTAACTGCTCATTATTGAACTTGGGAGGTACATGTATTTATAATTAAAGTTGTATTTAATGATGGGCACCAGTGAATTGTAGATTCTGTTCTCGTGTGAGTGTTCCACATGCAGTTCCCCATCTAGTCATGTCTTATGAATTGACTTGTTGACAGTAAGGGTAAAAATATTAAAGGGAAGATACAACATTTTGCAAACATCAAAAAACGAAATGATCAAATTATCACGAAATATCTTACTGGATTGTGAGGGATGACAGTTTAAAGCATCCTGTAAAATTGTGGCTCCTGGTGTTCTGACATTTTCAAGAAAACTTGTATTTTTCCAACGCTGGTCGGCCGACCAGCGTTGGAGAAAACTGATTTTTTTTCTCAAAAAGTGCTCCTAATTTTTCATATTTAGTTATTCCCCATTTCTTTGCAATTGATTGCACAACAGTTGATTGCACAACTGTTACATGTACATACTAATCCTCCAAATCCATTTATTTCTAAAAATTGCAGCAAAAGCAAATGTTGTACATTCCTTTTAACCCAAGCCCGTGAATACAACATCAGTAAAGCAGATAGCCATATGTTGGTTGACCTTCAACCCCTGGATAACTCATAGGAGTCCACTCGTTGGGGTAAGATTATGTCAGATGTGTTGGTGCTGTCTTTATCAATGCATTTATGGGCTGACCCTTGACACTGGAGGGTAATGGAACGTGCATTGTTGTCATTGGGATTGGCACAGAGCCAAATAACCTGTGTTTGAGTCTGAATATTTTATTGATCACAAAACAAAGTTATATAGAAACTGCGTGCATCTACTGTCGAGTGAAATTGATACAACTTTAGAGTCCGGATAGTTGATCTTAAATGTTGGCTTTAACGTAGTCGATAATGTATGTAATTTTGTTTGCTAAAAAGAGGTTTCAGTGATTTTTGCTTTTTCTGCTTCCGTATATAGTGGCAAAGCATGGAGTGTTGCTCCAAAAGTTTTAACTTTTCGAGTTACATAATAGTAGAACTTATTTTTTTTGGCAAGGGTTCATGTATAAAGATATAGGCCTACTACGGCTTTGAACTTGCGAATTTACATAGCTTCTAGTATATATCATTGAGGACATGTTTGTTTTATTCCTCCATGGTTACATCTATTGTGTAGTGAGATTATTTTTGGGGGATGAGGATGTTAAAGTTCTGGTTTTGCATAAAGCAACCCACATGTCAAATGTGGTGCGGAACAAACAATGTTGGACAGTAGTAAAACTGTTTTTAAGTTCCTACACGTATGCTCATGAACGCATGTACATGTAGTACTGTACATGTATGTAGTACATGTATACTGCCACAAATGCTCTGTGTTGTGTAACCTTTGACCCATCCTGTTTGTGTGCCCTTTCATGTAGTACATGTATGTAAATCACAAGGCAGAATGGATGCTCCATAGGGAGGTGGGCAAGACTGGGGAAGTTCATGATCATACTCCCAATACATTCCCAATTGGGAATTTTACGGTTTTTGCCAAACTTGCCTGGAAACGGACAGGAAAACTACACGTTTTCAGCAGATGTACGTATCCATTATGCTGAGTACAGTATGTCGCAGGTCAAAATACTAACTTGAATACCACACAAGTGTTACAACAGTGGACGGAGCAGACATTCGGATCGGGTGAGCTTTTTGCTCTCCGATGTCGATAGATTGGATCCCAGATCCCAGTTTGATATGTCTCTGTGTGCAGTACATGTACATGTAGGCAAAGAATCCCAGCTAACTAAATAATGGAAAAAAAATCCTTGTTAGCGGTTAGCATTTTTCACAGGTAAACAAGGAAGTTAGAGCTGTGAGCATGCTTTTGTACATGATACGTACATGTACATCCCATAACTAATGCTAGGTTCACACATTCCCAATTTTTAAGCCGAATCTCAGCGAATACCAATTCTTGAGTAAATCGGGGATGGTTCTTGGTAGTCTTGGGATGATTCTGTTAGTTCGGTGAAAGATCGTTAAAGATCGGGAAGCGCTCAACAAATTTGAACATGTTCAAAATTGTCGGGGTGATTCGGGAACCAATTTCAATTCTTGGTTTACTCTTGTTGTATTCATAACTAATTTGGGAATGTGTGAACCTAGCGTAAGGATTCTTTGCTTACAGGATAAGTGCAGAATTTCTGTGCAAGCTCAGAGTTTCAGTGTGTTTTGCTAATGACATTTGCTTTTGTTCTGTTCTTTGAACCATGCAGTCTACATTAGCGATTAGAAAAGCGATTAAAAAAAACATGGGTACCCGGCTACCTGTTAAAGAAACCCAACCCCAAAATTCAAATTTGGCAAGTTGCTGTTCAGATTGTTTACAAAGGTCCGCACGATAATACTACCACATCGGTACGTCAATACAGCAATAAACAAGTGTGTACAGTGAGCTTTATTATAGCTTTACGGTGTACATGTAAACTTCAACTTTCGTGAGCGTCATAAATATGTTATGTTTTCCTGTGTAGCCTGATTTTCATTTTGAAAATGCACCACAAATGACATTCAAAACCTTTCTTTTTTTATTGTCTGAGAAGCTCAGTCGCATAATCTTGAACCAGTTCCTGGCATCAACTGTTGGGTACTTGGGTACCGAGTTCCGATGCACAGCCCTATTGTACACTGTGTACATTGTACACATTGTATCACAATGATACACAATTGTACACAATGTATCACAATGATACACAATTGTACACATTGTATCACAATAATAAACACAATTGTACACAATGTATCACAATGATACACAATTGTACACAGTGTATCACAATGATACACAATTGTACACAATGTATCACAATGATACACAATTGTACACAATGTATCACAATGATACACAATTGTACACAATGTATCACAATGATACACAATTGTACACAATGATACACAATTGTACACAATGATACACAATTGTACACAATGTATCACAATGATACACAATTGTACACAATGTATCAATGTGTGGCGGGTTTTACTTTTTCCTTTAAATTGAATTCAAATATAAGGAGTGGTTTGATGCTTTTTAATTTTCTTTATTCAGCAAAAATGTTGCAACCTGATACCACTTCAGCGGTTGTGTACAAAGTCTATGGAGAGTCAAGAACATTTTCTTAAGTATTTCCTAACAAAATTGGAAATGTTTCTCAGTCCCAGATTCATACATCTTATCATCATTTTTGCAATGACTGACCTTTATTGAGATGATATATGAAGAAAAAAGTGGCGTCAGGTTGCAAAATTTTCCCCCTGTATTCCTCTTTAACTGCAAACACTACCAGGACTACTGTTTTGCTGACCTTGTCAAAGAAATATTTTACTTTAGAATGTAAATTAGCAAACATATATTGTCAAACACATGAACATGTATGTATAGCCGTGGGATCAAACCAGTTACATGTATTATTAATTTGTTTTATAGTGCAATTTTTTTTCTCAAATCTGCTTCCTGTGAATAAAAAGGAAATTGTTTTATTGTAGTTATTTTTACTGCGACACAAATGGAATTCCATGTGTATGGTTACATGTACCTGTATTTACTCAAAGTGAGGCATTTTTTCCCCACCCATGCAGTGTGGAAAGCGATGATGAAATAGTTGCCGCCATTTTGTTCCTCTGAGCAGGCTGGTACATGTACAATAAATACTTGTCCGAGGCAGTGGTATTACCAAGCATTATCACCTCTTGAACTTTGACTCATTATCTGACAACCATTATTTTCAAATTTAAAATCAATAGATCCAGATATAAATGTGGATATGCACATTGCACAACCAATGGTGCACTTTGGAAAAAAGACGACAAATTTTCATGAAAAATGATAACATTGCTTATTATCTTCAAGCAAACTTGAATCGTCGATCCTGATTGGTCGATCCATGGCAACAGGCCGTGCTACATATAACCATACCGCACGGCCACGGTTCATACCGCACTCCGCGTATTGCGCTAATCTAAGCCGTAGGTTAGTGCGCGATTAGTGCTGCACAATTCACTGTGAATTCAAAAGTTGCGCGTAGGTTACACAGCTGTATGCGTGTTCCAACTTTACTGTGCGTCAAGTTTGCTTGAAGATAAATTCGTTATCGCGCTCGCGCTCGTGGAACACGGAAAATGTATTGCGTCTGTGTCCCATATACCACTCAGCCTTCGGCCTCGTGGTATGTGGGACACATATGCACTACATTATTCCGTGTTCCACTCGCGCTCGCAAGATAACTAATATTATAGTCATTCCTGTCCTGTCTGGCAGTGTTAGGCACTAACAATTAATATACACTGAAGAGATACTGAGTTTAAGCCTTAGAAAACATGGTTGGAATACCAAGACTCAATTATGTGTATAGGAATCTGGGTTTTTTGATAAATTGATATTTTGATATAAAATGTTTAAGTAGGCCCTACATGAATGTATTTTCAAAATCTTGGAATGAGACGGTCTTTTCACAAATATTTGCACATTTTCTGGTGCTCTATTTTGGTTATGCATTTGAGCGCTTGATTCCTACTTATTCAACAGTACTACGCACAGCCTTAGTAAAGTGAAGTAAAGTCTGTCACAAGGCTATGTGGCCCAACAGGCCAGCGTTTGTCTCCGGTTTCAGTAGCACGAAACGACTGGGAATATTTCTACTCCCCCCTGGACGGGATGCGACATGTCCATGGCAGGTTACTCCCCAGCTGATGACGGTACCCATAACGTATACTCCTGGGTGGAGAGAAGCAAGTGGGAATGAAGTGGCTTGCCCAAGGACACAACATATGGTCAGCCGCTGACGTCAAACTCCTGGCCCTCTGATTATGGGTCACAAATCCTAACCACTAGGCCACACTCCCCCCCTTAGGGCTTGGGCGTAATTCCTTTTTTACCGTCTTTTTATTAAGTGTACTTAGATTTGGGAACAACATTGGTGATTGCAGATATCTGATTTTGAAATTTCTGGTCTTATAACGAAAAGCTGTTCTTTTTTTCTTAACTGCACAGTGTCGTCAGCAACAGTACCTCCAAGCCTCTTTCAGCTAAGTTCCATCTTGGCCACTTCCTCGCACCAAGTCCTGCCAGCAGCAACCCCCAAGCGACATGTCCGAGACGCTGAACTTCGGTCCCCAGTGGCTTCGCAACCTATCGTCCGGCACCGCCTCCAATGTCACCTCTCCCCCTCCCTCCCCCGGCATCGGTGGTCCCACAATGTCCTCGTCCGCTGGCCCGGGTTTGATGCCTCAGTCGGCCCCCGGTCCTCCTCCGTCCTCCTTGGCCCCGGTGCCCATGACCCAGTTCAAGCTCGCCGAGCACCGCTATGGCCGGGAGGAGATGCTGGCACTGTATCGCAAGACGGAGCGGATGCCTGCGGGCGTGGAGGAGGTGCAGTCCATTGCTAAGAAAGAACCGCTGACGCCCATGGCTTTGCTGCCGCTGAACGACGAAGAACAGGTGAGATTTTCCATCAGTAACAAGTCACCTCAATAAGGCCACCCCAAAAAATAGTTCTGCTTCCGATTACATGGCATTTGAAAATAGGGTAGGTAGGTAGAGAAATAAAAAAAATTTGCAAATTTTTTTGTGTACGATCATATGGAGGCGTCTGCATGTTGTCAAAGGTAGAAATTGATGGTTTGGGTGTTTTTTTTCTCATTTTTCCCATACAAAAATTAGGGTAGGGGCTGTCAGAATAGGGTAGGTAGGAAAACCGGAAGCAGAACTATTATTTTTTTTGGCCTAATGATCCCGTAAAAGTTGTGGAGGAATGTCTTTGATTGCCAATTGATTAGTGAAATCCACGCACTCTGTTGCACGAACAGTCCTGCTCCGACATCAAGCGGTGTCTGATGGAGTTTTCAATTAAGATTCACCCAGAGAAGTGTTGTAGTCGCGTCCATCAAATGTCCCTGCAAGTCCAAACAAGTGCATCACAAGTCCTCCAGTCCCAATTCAAGTCACAAGCTATTCAAGTGAGGTATGACAAAGGCATTCCTTTGTTATTGTTCATTCACTGTTATTTGTGACTGGGCTTGTGATTTACTTCTAACAGGACTTATGATGGACTTCTGCCCTAGAATAATTTACAGAGTTTAACCCTTAAAGGGCCGGGTTATTTTGACCATCTCTCAGCCGAGGGGGGGGGGGGGGTGGATTCTGCCCCCCCCCCAGATCTCGGCCATCGAGTGACGAAAAATTTTGAAACTCGGTTCATGCATAGAGCAACTCATCATGAACATACCCAAGAAATTTCATGACTATAGGTCAAAGGGATTTGGAATTATGGCTAATTAATTATTCATATGTACGAGTGGTAACTCTGCTCTGTGTACACGACGTATATGGGAAAATTCAGTTTTTACGTGGCGGAAAATTATTTAGTTCGGCAGATGTTATGCAAAACTTTCATCAACCTTAAAACCGTACAAAGACTTCTGCCGATTGCATCAAACTGCTAAAGTAAAATCAAGTCCTAAGCAAATATCAGCCAAGAAATAGTCACAAGCGATAGATATCGCATGAAATTTTAAAGTGGTAACCAGTTTTGGTTAAACTAATGCATTCTGTGCTAAGGGAGGACGGTGGATACCCTAACGCAGAAAAGCCTTTGAAAGAACAAGCCATGCCACAGCTAAGCCTGGGCCTTAACTGCCTTTTTCAATCCCCATCTTTCATTTCTTACCAGCCCCAAGTCTGACTTGGTTATTTGGATTTCTTTTTGAAGTATTGTTCATTATTCCCATTCCGTGTTGCCGTTCCAGCGGTGTTTGTCACAGTGTGTGAACAGTTCAGTGGTGCTACGACTGACAGGCAGAGGGGGTGGGGGTCCAGCAATTAGAGGGGCTAGGGGAGGAACTGGTCGAGGAAGGGGTAAGTAACAGGTTTTTGTTATCATCATCAGTGTACCAGTATAAGTTGAGCTTAACCCTAACGTACCTGAATCCATCAAAATCCACCCCCCTGTATCGGGGGATTTTGGCGGATTCAGGATACCTCCATATTGCACAAACTGGGGGATTTCGATGGAATGCGGATACCTCTATTTTTCAGCTGTTGGGGGACTTTGATGGATTCAGGTCTTAACAGTTTAACTCTTTTGCAATGTTTGTGGTCATGCCACTGCTGGCACTAGCCCTGCCAAGTCTGTCACAAACATGTACACACATGTACTGGGTGGATGGGAGCTTGTGACTGGGGCTATATATAGGCCTCAGCATATAAACAATGGATTATGTAAATAACCCATCCAGGCAATGCAATGCTGGGGTCGCCATGCATTGGTGTATTTTGATGGATCCTATGCAACAACACACATAACAATTATCATGCGAGCATGGTATCCTGAATCTGTCAAAATCCACCAGAAATTTAGGTGATGGATTTTGAAGACTCTATGGAAAAAAATGCTGTATTTTTTTTATGCCACCATGGTATCCTGAATCCGCCAGAATCCATCAAGACTTTTGCTGGTGGACTTTGGCGGATTCAGAATACCTTCATTATCTACACTGGGTTTTTTTGCATGACAAAATTGGTGGATTTTGGCGGATTCAGGATACTTTCTAGTAAAAAAGCCCCAGGAGTTAGGGTTAAAAGATTTATCCTCTCTGAAATAAAAAAAAAAAATCAGCATTTTAATTGATGCAAGTTACACAAGTTTAACCGCCTAAAAAATGTGTGAAGCGAATGAAGATATTTTCAACACTCGGTTTTGCCCTTCAGCGACGTATTTTATAAAGACACTGCGTACTCGGTGTTTCCCTTGAGTGATTGTGAGAAAAAAATCCCTCAGGTGGGACTTTTTTTTGTTATTTTTTTCTCATTTTTTATTTCCTCACAATCACACCTGGCCAACACTGGGTAAACAGTGTTTATAAAAATACGTCGGTGAAGGGCAAAAGTCAATATTGAATTTACATCACCCCGACGCAAAATTCAATCTTACGATTAGAAGATAGTTTGATATATTCAAATTGTTTGTATCAGAGTCTACATGTATGTTCGTTGTAATTTATGTAATGATTACATTGATTGATTGACTCAGGTAGGGGACGGGGAGAGTTTCAGCGTAACGTCTCGATGTACGATGAAGAAACTCCAGGGTTCCAGCGGGGACGGGAGTTCAATCGCACCTTGAGCTGGGATGAAAGGTGGGTAAGAAGTGAAAGGAGACTCTGAAATGCTTGCAGTGGTCCAGGACTATTTCTGGCCTGCTACTTCAACACCAGGGAGTTGTTATCTTGTCAATCGCAAGTTGGTCACAAAATGAAAGGCAGGACGGGTCCCAAATACTGGCTTAAGATTTTTCAGACATTTGTCTTAGATCAGACATTTTGAATCTGAGAAAAAGATGTTATCAGTTATAAAGACATGCATCTTTAAGACAATCATCCAATTTTCAGACCTTTTTTAATTCAAAATTTCATCATATAGGGCTGTCCATTTTCGATTACTTGAAACTGCGTTTGCTGCAACTGCGTGCTGCACCGGTAAAAAGTTGCACAAAGAGTGGCGAGTTAAACTTTGCGTGCAGCTTCCGATATGGAGCACTGGAGTGTTTTGCTCAGTACTTTCTGTAGAAGGCTTTAATCTGCTAAAAGAATGTGAACAATGAACCACCATCAACCAAAAAAGTTACCGTCGACAAAATATAGTGGCACCTGACAATATGGCAGCTTTACGATAAAATAATATCACAGTCGTGTGTGTTATGATATGTGCATATTTTCTTTTTTTGTCCTGAACATTCAAACCGTCAAAAAGCTATTTGAATTTTTGGTTGATGATCGAATATTCAATTCCTTGGTATATTCTGGACATCCCTACATCCCTACAAGTAATAGTGGACAAACATTGACAAAGGAAAGCTTTTGTCACAGTTGATTTAAAGAGATTTTTACAAGAGACACGAGTGACTTTTTGATGACTTGTCATTGTTTTTTTTTCCAAATGATGACTTAAAGTGACTTTTGGTGACTTGTGATGCCTTTTAATGCCTTGTGGTTGACTTTAGATGTCTTGTTGATCATTTTGCCTGTGAAAAGTTGTTCATTTGTGTACCCGTCACCTGTTATTGGCATATCTGGCAAATTGGTTCAAACTTAAACTCATACGGCCAGGCTTTAAAAAAACAGAGAAAAGACACAAAATTACATGATGTCTTTAAGAACAAAAATTACCTATGTATATGAAGTGCAGGTGGAAGTAGAGACTATTCTTTGATTACATATTGAATGTGTTCCATTGTTGACATACATACTCACAGTCAAGAGCACCGCTTTGACAAACGGCTGGACTCGCGTAACTTTGAGGACGCGGCCGGTGGGCCCGTCTCCCCTCGCAAGCACATCGAGCGCGGAGGCAGCTCCAGCGACAACTGGCGATCGTCACCGAGGGACCGGCCGTCGCGGGGGGACGAGGAGGACGAAGGCGGGACATGGAGGCAGGCCGGGGCACGCTCCATGAGGATGCCGCGAGATGGGGAGGATAATTGGCGCAGCGCAACAGGTAAGCATCCTCTTTCTTATGTTCCACCTTTACCTTAATAAGGAGTGACTACGTTAAAAGATCGCCTTATCTCAGTCATCCAGAACTACTGCAGAGTGCAGTCAATGGAAAAATTTATACATATCTGAAACCAAATCTATTTTGGTCAACCCAAGTTGCTCCTAGTGGGCTCTGTGCACAAGTACCCCCTCAACGGTCAGAAAGGGAGAGTTGGGGAAGACCACTGGGAGAGATATTCGAACGTATTGTTGACAGCGCCTGATACTCATGCGAAGATGCTTTGGCTTTGTGCACATGTGCACAATTCAGAATAAAATGGTGTGTGTACTTGTTGCTATAAGTGTGAGGACCAGTCTGGAATGCTGTTGAAAGTGGTAAAAAAAGCGCCCTCTCAGTTGGCGCAAAAAGCCCATACTATTCGGTTAGGCACAATTCTGAAACCGGTGTCAACTGACCAAGAGGTATTAAAATCATGTTGTAGCCTACCCGTTCTCGTAACATTTTGCCAGGGTTATCGAGGACAAATTGGAACCATCCCAGAGACCGGGAGGAGCTGGGGCGAGGAGGGGGCCTGAGGGAGCGTCGCTACAGCGGCCGGTCACGCCAGGATAGCTGGCACGAGGACAGCATGGAGGAGATGCCGGAGTGGACCATGGACGACCCCTTTGACGGGGACATTGGGACGTTTGACTCATCGGGAGCTTTTTGCTCGACTAAGGTGAGTGGGATTGCTCAGCCACTCTGTCAAGAGGCTGGCTTGTAGTTCAGATTTGGAGGAGTTCTCCTTACGTGTGAAATGAAGCATGGGATGTGTAACTGTTGTTGGACCCGAAGGGCCTAGCTGTTGTCCTCTCACTGAGTCACTGACTAACTCCCCGCCTGACTGACTCCCCGACTGACTGACAATTTACAAAGTCTACAATTTACAAATGTTTCTAAGTTCTCTCAAATGCTGATATTTTACCGAGTTTTGTATCGGTTTATTGTGTGTGTTGAACCTGCAGAAAGCAGATAAGGATTCAGGATCTGGGGACTCCAACAACAAGGATGAAGGCAATGAAGATCAGCAAACTAGTCAAGGTAAAAATGAAAAATATAATATGTGAGATTTTCTGGCAAAATGAGACAGAACTGGGCAGGGACGGTGGTAGAGAAAATGATATTTTTTTTTTTTTTCAGACTTATTGATATTTGTAATTTTTGATATGTCTGTCACACGTGTTTTCAAGAAATAGTATCAAAAACATGGAATAAAAGTGTTTTTAAGGGAAAACAACTTGCATGTTTCACTTTCACAACAAAACTTGAAATTTTAAGTGTCTTTTCCTCAGTAATTAAATTTGTATACATATTGATCAATGCAAACTTTAAATAACCATAATTTGTCAATGAAGTGCCCAATTGAAGTGTAACGAACAGTTTTGCCGGGAGAATTTTATGCTCTTTCATAATGCCCGCAAACCCTCAGTTCTGCTTCATTTTGTCAGAAGAAAGTTCTCGGTACCCTCTTGAGCAAATTTGTGTGAAACAAGTATTCCTTTGGTGGTTTACTATTTGGTTTAGACGATAAAGACAAAGAAGAGTCAGAACCTGACAGCTCCCTTCAGGCTTCACCCCACCCAGACAGCTCGGATAACTCGGAGCTGAGCGCCAAGAGCACAGAGTCTCAGAACTTCAAACCAGCCAAGCCTCAGAAAATCAGCGCGAAGGAGGAGCGTCGGACAACAGGCCCCTCCCCAATCACGGTGCAGCTGACAAACAACGTGGTCAACAGCGGCAAGAAACTGACCGGCGGCAACAACAACAGCAGCAGCAGCAGCAGTATCACCAGCAACACCAGCGCTGCGGGCGACGGGCCTGTGGCAGCAGCCCCACCAGAGCCTGCCCCTCAAAACTCAGGGAACCAAAACGACGAAACTAAGCAATCACAGGGCGGGGACGGGGTGCCCACGATCAGCGAGGTCATGGCCCAGGTGGCCAAGGTCGCGCTGCAGGATGCTGGGAAGGAGGCGGAGCCGACGCCCACTGCAGATGAATCTCAAGCAACGACGGAGAAGAAAGAGGAGAACCGGAAACCAGAAGAAGAGGACGACAGTCTGGCACAGATGGAGAAAGATGCAGAGAGTCTCATGTCAAAACTCATTGAAGAGGTACTGTATTCAGGCTGATTCACACTTAATGTGTATTCAAATGGGAAGTAAATTCGGTGCCATTGTATATTCACAGAAAAAAAAACGTCATTGATTGAAATGTGTTGTATTCACAGCAAAAGTTGTTGCCATGATGTCTCATGGTGCCAACTTAGCATTTTTAACTTGAAATGGCTCGCAGATGTCCCTAAGTTATTTGTTCATTGTCTTGACATCAGGATGATGACAAAGGACCAGAGGAGGAGGAGGCACCCATCCCCAAGCAGGCTAGCAGTGTTGCAGACACCAAAGTCTTGCACGCAACTCACGAACACGCCTTCAAGTGGTTCTACAAGGATCCACAGGGCTCCGTTCAAGGTATCGTCAAAATGAGTGTTATTTCGGGCACCGCATTCAAAAACAGGTTTTGATTTCGAAATGTCGCCTCAAATGTTGTAATCAAAACTAGTTGAATGAGCAATATATTGACTTGTAACAGAGTGCAGGTTTTTTTGGCCAAAACGTGTTTCATTTAGCATTAGTGAAAAAATTCTTTCTGTTCTCCCTCCCTCCCCCCCCCCCCCCCCCCCCATTTGCCACAGGTCCCTTCATGTCGAGTGAGATGGCGGACTGGTTCGGTGCTGGCTACTTCACCATGACGCTGCTGGTCAAGCGGGGCTGCGACGAGGACTTCATGTGCCTGGGAGAGGTCATCAAGAGATGGGGTCGGGTGCCCTTCATGCAGGGTCCCGAACCCCCTCCAATGGGGGTAAGAACCGACAAAAATCCGTAACCAGTTCCTACGTCATGCAAATGGGAAATACAAAGTGAACTTTGACGTCGTGAAAATGTCTGTGCGAATATCGCTACAGTTGAATGTGTTTCCAGCTTTTGCCAATTTTATTTCATGTCTGGTCTGGTCTGGTCTGGTCTGGTCTGTCCTGGCCTGGCCAGACACGAAGTAGCACAGTCGTTCAACCAAAGTTGTTCAATTTGTTCTTCCGAAGCTCTATTTTAAGGTAGTTTAGTGCCAACAGTAATAATAAAAATACTAAAGCATTTGAAAGGCGCACAGTATCTGAAAATAATAGTCATTCAAATTTGCCGGTCAGTTAAAAGTCAGTGTGTGTGAAGGTAGAGGCCATTATGTGTGAGAGAGAAACTGATTGAAGAGGTGGGTTGTTAGGTGGCGTGTGAGGAGAGATGATTCCTGGATTGCCCTTAACAATAGTAAGATTTCCAGTGCCAATGGCAACTCTACCAGGCGTGCCCAAGGTAAAGGCCACCCGATATTTCAACAGTGGTCTGTGAAAGGCATAAACTGTATTCTGACTTATTTTCAGAAACTGCCGTCACCAATCACATCCGAGGTCCGCCCAGTGCCCCCACCCTCCCAACCCCAGCAGCAGGCACGCCATGGTCTCCCTCCGCAGCTTTTTGCCCAACACCAACAGCAACAGCAGCAACAACAACAGCAGCAACAACAACAACAGCAACAACAACAACAGCAGCAGCAAGCTCCGCCCACACAGCAGCAGCAGAGAGAGCACCTGCAGCAGCAACAGCAACACCATGTCTTCCAGCAACTGATCCAACAGCAGCAGGCTTTTATCAGGTACGGGTTTTTAGACCCAGATTGAAAACGAGTCAAGTGTTTAACAAATACAATAATCTAGGACATAAGAGTAAGTACAGAAATTGACTTGAGATGGATTTGAACCCTGAACCTCTGGAGAATCAGACCAACATTCTTCCAACTAAGGCCAAGTTCAGGCAAGGACCATTAGTCGACTAGTGGTTGATTTGTGACGTACCTTACGCCTGCGCACTGATAGCAACGTGCGAACGTCTCTAGTCAAACGCTGGTCAAAATGTCATCGCAAAACTTCTGGATCCTTGCTCTCTGCTAGCGTTATGAATGCGCGCGGCTATTGGTTACCAGGGATGCAACCAGCCCCAGTAGGTTGGTTTCAAATAGTTGACTAGTGTAGTCAACCACTGTCGACTAGACAGAGTTCGGGCAAGCGTTAGTCAAACTATGGTTAACCATTGGTCAACTATAGTCCTTGCGCGAACTTGGCCTGAGCCTTGTGTGCAGTCACCCTCCTACTCAGAAGGCATAAATCATACAGCCAAGGATCACACCAAACGTCACGTTGAAGTTACATCAATAGTAATGCTGCACTCTTGAGAAATGGCAATAAGGATTACCTTGAGATAATAAGTTTTTCTAATCACAAGTATAGGCCAACCATCATCAACCTAAACATGTAAGCATCTTTTGCATGTTATTTTGCCCACAGCACTTTTAAACCATTTGTATTTCAAGAGATATACATGCAGTGCAGAAGAGAACCCTTTGCTGAAACTTGTCTCATGTTCTATACCTTGTTGAATTTCCTTCGTATTTGTTTGTTCATTTTTTTTGTAATAAAAAGATGTATCTACATAAAGTTAGGCACTGCCATTGGCATAAAGTTAGCGCTGCCACGGCTTTGCCATGGGTGCAACGGATCCCTAATCTGTTAAAAACTTAACCCTAACCACCTAGGCTCTTTTTGCTAGGAGCCATCCTCAATCCTCCAAAATCCTCCAAAATCCTCCAAAATTTTCATTAATGTTCAAATGAAGGATACCCAGTGCCTCAATCCTTCAAAATCGTCAGACAGTCCTGCCTCAAAAAATGCATTCATCATCAATCCTCCAAAATCATCCTCCTCTTCAAACTTCATTCATCCTCAATCCTCCAAAATCCTCATGTTTCTCAAACACCATTCATCCTTATTCATCTGAAATCCTCCAAAACCCCAATGAGGCTTTTGGAGGATTGAGGTGGGTTAGGGTAAGTGTCCCCTCACCATGGCCCACATCGTCAACAGTCATTAAATCTTTGTTCCCTCAACGTTGTCCCCCAAGGGTGCAAGCCAGCCGCATCTACCAGGAGCTCCTGCAGCGAGGCAAGTCCCTGACTGGGCCCCAGCAGACCCTCCTGCGCCAGCAGCTGATCAGCTTACAGCAGCAGCACCAGCTCCTGCTGCAGCAGATGGCGCTGCAGGGGGACCCGTCCCGTTCCGACATCGCTGCGGCGGCCGCGGTGGTGGAGCAGCAGCACGGCATGATGGGAGGCATGGGCGGGGGTCGCAGTGGGTCCGGAGGCAGCCCTGTGCCGACGTCGAAATCCGAAAACGTCATGGACAACATCTCCATCTGGGGCGGACCTCCTTCTAAAAAAGGTACCAATAAATCTTCAATTCAAAATCTTCAATTTATACTTACGATCCAGTGATTTCCCCCCAAAAATATTCCTGTAAAATAATTGTCAAGAGGATAAACTCTTACAGAATCGTAACGTTTACTTAAGAACCGGTGTCATGGTCGAAAGCAGGTGCAATTGAAATGTAAACTAGCGGAAAGAAGAGTCTGTACAAAAATAGCAGAACGCGCTGTTTTACTTGTGTTTCGAACTGGCCAGCTGACCTCAGCAAGCGCGGCATTTCTGTGTTAACCCTAACCCTGCTAAATGCAACAGAAAGCAACAAAGGTAAAAAGATGTTGCATACTGTTGCATTTAGCAGCAACAAAACAACAAGTCCCCTTGCTTTGTGGCATCTGGTTGCATGTAGCAGGGTAGTTACTCATAGTGCCAAGGCGATGCAAGAGTATTCACTGTTGCAGTTTGTTGCATTTAGCAGGGTAACTGCTTGGTGCCAAGGTTGGTATGCACTGGATTCACTAGTGCACTACGCTACAGAATCCACTGTTGCGGTTTGTTGCATTTATCAGGGTTCTCATTTGAGTTGAATTGTATATTGTTGCATTTAGCAGGGTAACTGCTTGGTGCCAAGGTTGGTATGCACTCACTGCAGAATGCAACAGAATCCACTGTTGTAGTTTGTTGCATTTAGCAGGGTTCTCATTTGAGTTGAATTGTATAGTGTTGCATTTAGCACGGTTCTCATTTGAGTTGAGTTGGATGTTGTTGCATTTAGCAGGGTACCTGAAAAATACCCGATGGGGGTTAGGGTTGAAGACATCAGTACTAGTAAGCAGGACGTTTTGGGTTCATATTCATGCTGAGCCAACCTGTGAATTGTCTTCACAAGCTCTTGAACAGCGTCGAGTCAACAGTGCTTATAAAATAAAGGAGAAAACCAAATGTTAAAAAATCCCTACCGGAGAACGTTTACCAGGTAGTTTCATTCCTGCTGGAGTTTATGAGGATGTGAAAGAGGGATTGTGATTGAGTAAATGTGTGTTCCAGTCATATTTCTTTGCGTTGCTTTGTCAGTTTACAATTTAACTGACAAGAGCCCTGTATTTCCGCTCTTCTTTTGTTCCAGATGACTGGGATATCGGCTTCTGGCATCCCTCCATGGCCAAAGATGCGATGGAAGAGGCAAGAATAATTTAACTCCTGTTTAACTTTTGGGAATGGAGTACTGAGAGATTGACAAGTGTTGAGCCCATTATCAATTATATTTGTGACCTGCTGTAGCATAATGAGGAATAACCCCCACCTTTGACTTTTCATGTTATGTACATCATGTTAAAGCACAAATCATTGGCTTTCCAATGATACCAAATTTATTTATGTAGCTTAATTTATTCCAAAGATATGACGCAGGAACTTCAACAGTGTCCTGCCAAGTTTCTTTAACGTCATTTTAAAAAACGGCATTGAAAAAAAAAACACGCATTGCGCTGCCAACGGCAGTGAAAAACGTTACTTAGTTTTTCCACTTTTGTGGGTATTTTTTCCCAACAAAAATGTGCAGTGTGAATCTTGGATATCTTGGCTACTCAAAAATACAAAACAGTCAATATTGATTTTGACACATTTTTTGCTAGTTTGTCCGAATTCAGATGTCTATTACTCAAAACGAGGTTTTGGGGGACATTCCTCATTTTGCCTCAGTAGGTCACATTTGATCCATCTATTAGTGGAAACCCTTGTACAGTAATGGGTAATTCCGTGTCAGTTCAACACGCTTTTTGACCCGACCCTCTCAGATTGAAACGATATTTGGTGTGATGATTGGCCTATATGAGAAACGCCCAGGACTAAATTTATTTTTGTAATTTGGCACGTTAGTTTTTGTGATACGGGTCAACAAACTTTTGACAAGTGAGCATGACCTTTGAACTTTAAATACTTGTATCAAAAACTATAGGCCTACAAAGCCAAGTCGTACATCATATTAAGCTCTTTGAATGGCCTCCATTTCATAAAATTAAACCAAAATCGTAGCATGAAGCGCAGAGAAAATGTGTAAGTAAATGATCTTTGACCTTGAATTACGAAAATCAATATTCTTCAAATTAAACGAGCCAAACTTCAAAAATTTCAGTTCTGGGGGTTTCTCATAATAGGCCAATCATCACACCAAATATCGTTTCAATCTGTGAGGGTCAGGTGACCCTAATCGGAGTCTGGTTAGAGACACCGAAACGAGGGAAGATGCTGAAATAATGAGACTGAAGGGGGATTTTTAAATACCCTTTTTTTTTCAAAGAGTTTCATAAATTGTTTGACATCATTTTTGAATTGTTTTATCTGAAAAAAAAAGAGGGATACAATTTGCAGATGGGAGCATTCCCCCTGTCTGTAGACCTCATAGAGTCGCTTCCTTGCTGACTTGCCAGCTGAGCACATCAAATGTGGCAAGTGGTATTTGCCAAGAGGTCCCCACTATGAAGGAAACCTCTCTGTGTGTTCTCAATTGACAGACAAGAAGAGAGAAGTTGAAGGCGAGGGAGGTGGCCAGACGCCTGGAGGAGGAGCGACGCCAGAAGGAGCAGCGAGATCAGGAGGAGAGACGGAGGCAGGACCAGGAACAGGAAGAGGAGATGAGACGGCAGCAGGAGATGGAACTCAAGAGACAGGAGGAGCTGAAACGCCAGGAGGAGCTCAGGTGAAAAGGGGTTGTGAAGTATAGTACAGCGGGGAATTTAGAAGAGTGGAGAAAGAGTGGAGAAAGAGCAGAGAAAGAGCTAAGATGGGAAATGGGTGATCTTATGTAGGGAAGGTCTGACTTCAAGAGATAAAAAGAGCTAGAGTGCCAGGTGGAGCTCGGGTAAAAAGAAGGAACAGCTAAGGGACCGTGACCATTCAGCCCTGGTATGAAAAGGGCCCCCGGTACCTCGTCCGGTCCAGAGCCAGTCCGGTTTTCAGCCCAGTCTCGTCCGGTACATGGTCCTGTCTGACCAGAAGTTTTGAAGTCAGTCAGGCGCATCAATTTATTGCCCTTCAGAGAACGTCCAGAGCAGAACAATAGCAGAATTACTGGATTAAAGATAAAATCCTTCCAAACGCCTTTTTAATTTACGGTCCCATTGTGATAACACGCATGGCAGGGGTTTTGATCTGTGCCGACGAAAGTGTTCTATTGTTTCGCACTGAGAGATGAAAACCACAAGCAGGTTTCTTCTGGAATATATTACATGTGTCAATACTTGCAAACAATAGACCCTAGGATAGAGGAGTTCCTGATTAGCAACTGGACCAGCTCCTGGGACGGTACGAGAGGACTTCTTGGGAGGGGACGAGCTTACCGGGGGGCCCTTTTCATACCGGGGCTAAATGGTCACAGTCCCTAAAGTAGAAAGTAGAGGAACTGAGGTTGGCAAGAGAGTTGAGATGATAAATTTCTGTCTAGGAGATCAGGCTGCAGGAGTATGAAGAAAGAGGAGGAGATGAAACTCCTAAGAGGGGATGTAAGGGGAATGCAAATACGTTATGAATATGTCTTTGGTTACACATTTACTTTTGATTCACAGAAGACAGGAAGATGTGAGACGCCAGGAGGAGATTCGTCGGCTGGAGGAACTCCGACAGGAAGACGAGAGGCGACGCAAACAGGAGGAGCAGCTGAGACTGGAGCAGCAACAGCAACAGCAACAACAACGCAAGGAAGAGCTGCGTCGGCAGGAGGAGGCCAACGCAGCGGCAGCGGTGGCCGCCAGGAAAGTCCAAGAGGACGTGGTCCGGCGGGAGGTCACGCGACGGGCCCAGGAGGAGGCCGAGAGACGGGCCCAGGAGGACGTGGCCAGAAGGGCACAGGAGGAGGCATCCAGGCGTGTCCGAGATGAGCAGGAACGAGCGAGACGGGAGGAGGACAAGCAGAAGGAAACGGAGAGACAACGACACCAAGACATAATCAGGTACAGATATTAAATGTCAAGTTGAGATTTCATTCAAATTTTTTCTTGACACACTGTGTGCTCAGTCTTAGACAATCGCATCTTCTAAATGCATCATCTGCACATAACATGACTGATGACAGAAATAAACAGACGGTTCGTGTCAATCTGTGCGAAGCTTGCCTGATGCAATGCCCATTTTTATTCCTCCAGGCAACAAGAGATGCAGCGGCAGCAACAGCAGCAACAAGACGCCTTGAGAAGACTCCAGCAGCAGCAGCAGCAACAACAGTCAAAAGTAAGAATCCACATTGATGACATCAGTAGCTACAGTAGCTGACATCCAAGATGTTGTAGACTTTATCAGCGTTGTATTGGTTTCCATCACAAGTCCCCACAAATTCTCACAAGTCCCCACAAATTCTCACAAGTCCATTACAAGTTCTACAGTCTCTATTCAAGTCACAAGTTGTTCAAATAAACTGTGACAAACTGCTGCTCATTTCCTGTTACTTTTGATAGGACTTGTAAGGACTTGCAATATTTATACTTTTATGATAATAATAACGGAGTCTTATATAGCGCACGTATCTACCAGCAATTAGGTACTCAAGGCGCTGGAAATTATGTCTATTATTAAAGAAATGTAAATACAAATAAAGTATATGAGAAATATGAGACCCATTATGTAGCACCTCATAAGGGTTGACAAGGTGCTGCGGCGCATATTGCAGCCACTGCCAGAAACACCGGGGCAAACCCCCTTCTCTTAGCGATAAGTGTCACTGGGTTCTTTAACGTGCATTACACAACACACAGGACCTACGGCTTTACGTCCCATCCGAAGGACGAAGCAATATTGGTAAAGTGCCTTGCTCAAGAGCACAAGTACCATGTTCCCATGGTCAGGATTCGAACCCATGTACCACGGCACACGAATCAAACACCGTAACCATTGGACCACAGCACCCCACTTTTGACCCGACTTTTGATGGACTTGTGATAAGTTCACCTGCAACATACATCTATTTTTAGAGAATAGATGTATGTAGCATGACTGGGTTGTTCACTTGTTTAAAAAAAAATAAAAATACAAAATCATTTGAAGTTATACTTAATGATATTTAAATGACAAATTACCAAGGGTAACAGGGACGGGAAAATGTAACACTTTCGACCCTGTATTGGGTCCAATGGTTACAGTGTTCGACTTGTGTGCCGTGGTACATGGGTTCGAATCCTGACCGTGGGAACATGGTGATTTTGCTCTTGAGTAAGGCACTTTACCACTTTTGCTTTGTCCTTCGGATGGGACGTAAAGCCGTAGGTCCCGTTAAAGCTGTTGGTCCCGTAATGCACGTCAAAGAACCCAGTAACACTTGTCGCTATTAGAGAAGGGGTTCGCCCCGGTGTTTCTGGCAGTGGCCGCAGCACCTTGTAAACCCTGGTGCCACATAATGGGTCTCATATCTCTCGTGTACTTCATTCATCTAACAATAGACATAACTCCCAGTGCTTTGAGTACCTGTTGCGTGCTAATGCCTGAATTGGTTTCTGCAATGTAGCCAACAGATAGAATGACCTGAAATAGGTCCTGAAATTTATTTTCTGGTCAAAGGCAAATCTTAATCGGAAACTTCTTTTTAACCCTTTCATTACCACATTGTTCATTGACTTGGCTCTCCCCAGGACCAAATTGTTTGCTCAGTCATGCGGAAATCACTAGAGCGTGAACAAAATGACCACAAGTCCAAAACTCACTTTTTTCAACCCAGATTTTCACTGCCAAGGAGTGATTTAAATCATAGGTGTTGTGTGTAAAGTTTGTTCCTCGAACCTTATTCTTTTACGTGATGTAAAAATGAAGTCCATATGTGTAAAGATAAGAAAGTTTTGCCTGTTTGTTCATCTGGTTCCATTTATCAAACTGCAAGCCATTTCACCACATGACCGAATGGCACTCCATACCTCAATTTGTGAGTGGATAGTTCTAAAGCACTTTTCTCATTTTTTTGTAATGGCAACACTATGAATAAACTACACCATTAGAACGATCCGAAAACACTCTTTCAGCTGGTATATGGTTGATGTATGGGCGGCCAAACATATCAACATGCCGCCTTTCTGAAAAGAAGTGAATATATCTGTGTTGAGGGTGTTCTGTGTGTGGTTTCCTGGTCGACTTAAGTCGCCCATGGGAACCAGCAGGGGGGTTCTTCTTGTCGACAAAAGTCGCCCATGGTAAGGAAAGGGTTGACAGTTCTTCTGTTCATTTAAATGTCTTCCCCGTATTTGTCTCCAGCTCCCCAGCACGGCCATGTGGGGTCAGGCCAGCACAGCCAGTACCCCGACGTCAACCAGCACGCCAACCCTGACTCAGATCCAACAGATGCAGCAGGAGCAGCGGGATAGGGAGGAAGTAAGTTCCCCTGCCATCCCCTTCTTTTTTTTCCTTCATTTTCTTACTCTACGTCCTGTGCCAAGTGCCAAAAGGCTTCACATTTGCGATTTGGTTGTGTAATGCATATCTGAATCTAGGCTGAACCTCAAATAATAGTGTTCCAAGCACTTGGCGAGCTTAACTGTTGTAACCCCTGCTCAAGTGGCTTTATAGGAGCAATTCCACGGTTACTCTCGTTACATTTTTGATGTACTTTTGAGTTTCCTTGGGCTGTAATTACCTTACTGAAAAGGTATAATAACGGTTATCCCCATGGTAGATAGAGTAGACCTAGACCTACCTAAGCACCAAAGATGACATCCAGAAAAATGTGTTATGTATGATAAACAAGACGCACAAAATCGGTTACTCACGTTACATTTTCGTAACGTGAGTAACCGTGGAATTGCCCATATGATGCGTCTCGTTCCCCCAGGAGCATGCTGTTGCCTTCTCGTTGCTCATTGGCTGATCAAAATACAGCAACCATCTCTGGATGGTGAGAAGCAATCCGCAACAAAGCGATTGCACGTAAATGTTATAAATGGAACTGTTTTGTTTTTTCCTACTCTGCAATTTCAGCAACAGCGCCAGCGACAGCTTCAAGCCCAGATGTTGCAGCAGCAGCAACAGCAGCAGCAGCAGCAGCAACAACAGCAGACCAGGCCCACTGGCTGGGGAAGTGCAAATCCAGGGTAGGTCCTTGTCATCTCACAGGCATAGCTGCCAACTATTACAAATTTTTCATAATTATTATGAATTATTTTGTTGAATTGCGAAATACGAATTGCCACTAAAAAATTACGAATTTCCCATTTTTTACCTAACAAAAAAACAAAATACTTAAAAGTATCGTTTTTGCCCGAAAACTTCTGGCGAAATGGTACGATAATGGATGGACTGGTGATAAGTCTAATAAGCAATGCGGTTAAGCACCTGATAGACATCAATGCGGTTTGCACAGTGGAGTACTTGAGAACCAGACTAAAAATATTTTTCAATGGTGTGTCATTTGTGTGCACCTACCTCATGGATGTGTGGTTGTGTGCACTGACTACTTTTCAGTGACGATCGTACGAGCACAATTGGTCGCTTATTGCCGGGATGAGACCCCTCAGTGCGAGATTTTGATCGTGGAATTTAATAAGAGTATAGTTGGAAGAATTGGTAATAGAGTTTGAGTTTATCACATGTCCAGAAAAGATAAATCAGCATGCGTTTGCAAGGTATGTTGGCGGGATATTTCTATTGCATACGGTGGCCCTAAAATCATTGTGTGTAAAAACATTAGAACTCGAAACTCAACATCGATAGCATGCATCTCAAAAAAATATGCGCACATGTTATTGTTATTATTTCTTTGCCTTCAACCAATAAATACAGACAGTAAAACAAAATTAATTAAATAAAAATTATTAATTTTTTTTTAAATTATTGTTTTAATTTTTAACTTTTTTTTTAATTACATTTTTTTTTTTAAATTATTTTTTTAATTTTTAACTTGTAGGAAGGAAGTATATTAGGCGTTGTACAGATGGAGCATGGCAGTTGATGGAAGATACTGACGTACCAGCTCAGACTTGGACACTTCCATGTCTCAGCATGTGTGCTCAGTAAAAGCTGTAAATATGTCACTTGATGTGCGTAGAGTAAAGTCAAAATTTGCTGGTTTCCTTTGGTTCCCCCCCCCCCCAGGATAAAAGGGAGCGCTCCCCCCACGAAGTCCCTGCGTGAGATCCAGGAGGAGCAAGCTCGGCAGCTGATAGAGAGAGGCAAGCAACAAGCCGCCAGCAAGCCACCGGTGGTATGTCTAACCTCTTTTTTTTTGCTCAGCACAAAAAAAAATTGTTTGACAATATTCTGTGAACAGTTTATAAGAATTGACCCTTGGATCGATTTCACAAAGTACTACGAGTGACAAGTTTCAAAACAAGTTACAAAATACTGTTTTATTGACTTTTGGACAGCGCCATGTAGATTGTCACTAGAAGTATCCCGGTAATAGTCGTGATTGTTTTTGCATAGTTTCACGACATATTTTTTGGTGTAAATGTGACTCCTCGCTTTGCACATGTGACTCGTGGCTGTGACTCGTCGCAATGTCCAATGCGATTTTCTATGACTGCATTGATTGGAACGTGGACATTATTTCTGTGTTCATGACAAAGACTGTTCATTGTGCACAGGCCTGCGCGCACCGTTTTCGTCTTCTTTACTCTTGAGGTGCCGTAACCTATCTTAACGCGTTACCCGCTATGGGTTGTACCACTTGGTACTTGTTTTTAAGTTAAGTCACAGTATTCATACACCACTTTCTTAGCGATTTGATAATAAATTCAAGAGAAAATAGGAAAACTCTTTCACAATTTGTTAGTCCATCCATTTCAAATCCCATCACATCTACAATTATTCGTAGCCCTGCGATGCATCATATAGTCCTAAGATCAATCTTAACCCTAACTCCCTAGGCCTTTTTGCTAGGATGTAGCCTCAATCCTGCAAAATCCTCCAGTTGGCCTCATGGAAAAATAGCATATGGCCTCAATCCTGCAAATTTCTCCATTATTTCTTGAATGTGGTCTGTGGAGGGGTGACCACTGCCTCAATCCTGCAAAATCCTCCGGCTATGACTGTCAATATGTCGAGGCAGAGGCAGTGACATCTTGGAGCAGTGCGGAGGATTTCAAGTATAATCAAGGACTAAATTTATGCACGGCTGAGCATAAACAACACAAGGTCCGGCCCAAGACCTTGACACAGTGCGTCCTCCAAAATCAGTAACGCACTTTTGCCATGTAACATTAATCCTGCAAATTCCTCCAATTTGCAAAAAGGATTTTGGAGGATTTGGGATGGTTAAGGTTAAGTTTCGATAATGTTTGCGAAAGTGACCCCTGGTTTGATTTTTTTTTTTTTTACCAGTCCATGTCGCTGGGCACGGCCGCTGTCTGGGGCGGGGCCAACACAAATGCAGCTCTGAGCTGGGGCAGTGACGGCACCAGCGTGTGGGGTGACCCCAAACCCAAGTCGGCCTCTCAGCCCACTGGCTTCTGGGACGAGGCTGTGGCTAACAACAATGCCGGAATCAAGTCACAGAGGTATAGCCGCAGCCGCTTGGAATATACATTTATCAATCAAGTGAATCCTGAATCTATACCAGTTACTACATTTTAAACCTTGCCTTACCATGGGCAACTTTTGTCCACATAGAACTACCCCCCTGCTGCTTACCAAATGCGACTTTAGTCGACCAGGAAACCACAAACAGAACACCCTCTGCATAGATTTATTCAATAATGTTTGATTCGGCTAGCAGGCTACCGCTAAAGTCGAACCCTGGAATAGTGTATAAAATCTTTCTTATTTTTTCCCCCATCACACTGCAGCAATTCCAACTTCCCGTCGCTTCGTAGCTCCACCCAGTCGGCCCCCATGCAGCGCCAGCAATCCTCCAACACCAACTCCAAGTCCAGAGTAGCAAAGGAAGAGGTACGTCAAATCCCAAGACCTCGGGTCTCAAGTCAGGAGATAAATCTACCTAAATGACTCACGGAGCACAGTGCAGAAAACGTAGGGTGATACCTCTGTGTCTCTGGACTTTAGCAAGTCAAATGACAGTGTCTTTTACAAAAATGTTGTTTTGCTTCTTAAACATTGCTATGTTGCCTCATTTTCCAATGCCAAGTTGGTTCCAAATATGCTGGAGAAGCCTAAGGCAATGCATCGCTTTGTATTCAGCCTCTTTTTCGTAAAGAGATGATGCTTACAAAGAGGATTTATTAAAACTGACAAGATCCGACCTCCACAACCACGGATCAAGTGAGCAGTCAGCTGAAGGCTTATTGACCAATCACAAGCAACCAGATCCATCAGGTGACCAACAATTTGTAGTCAGCTGAGGGGTGTTGGCCAATCACAACCAACCAAAGCGATCGGGTGACCAACACTGACAACAGAATAATCCAATGACCTTGCCTCCATCTTGATAATGTTTTTGTTTATTTTATAATTTTCTTGTTTATTTGCAGGAGAATGTCCGCAAGTTGTTTCAGAACAACTCGGCATCGGACGAGTTCACCCAGTGGTGTGAGTACATGCTGCAGGGGTTAGCCACATCGGTGGATAGTGAGTATCAAATTTAAGATCAGTTCATCTAAACTGACTTTGACTTCGTTGCGCCAGTGCAACAAGGTCTTAACTCGATTCTGCAACAAAGTCGTATCTCGCGCGAATACGCTCCGTACAACAATGTCATATCTTGACGTCCATTGACTTTGTACATCTGGGTTATTTGATGCGAGATACGATGCTATGCAACCCTGCTTTATATCGGTAGGGATCACTCAACTGTTAAAAACAGTCATGCAGTTAAGTTTTGACTGCCAACTTTTTTTTTGATTGCCCCCGTAATCATAACCTGTAATTCTGTTGGTCTTTCAGTCCCCACGTTCATATCATTCCTACAAGACGTGGAGTCGCCGTACGAGGTGCACGACTACGTCAAGATGTACCTGGGGGAGACGCGGGAGAGCAGCGAGTTTGCCCGGCAGTTCCTGGAACGCCGCAGCCGCTACAAAGAACAACAGAGGAAACAACAGGAAATGGTACGTTCAGGTTTCATTCGAACGGTTTCCCAATTGTGATAAAATGATTGAAATTTGTTACGAGATGCAAAGTCTGTGATATTGGGCAGAGTTTTGAGCCAAGCAAGCTGAGGATTATTTTCCCCTTCCTAAAAAGCACATCATTTGTGATGCGATCAAGCTAAATGGGTCGTTTGTTGGGAACTTTCATTTGGAGATTCAGGCCAAAATAGGGCCACTTCATCACATCACTTCATCACAGCACTTCATCACATCTCTTGGTGTTCCGACTTCCATAATTTTTGAACTAAAGATGGTATCAGCGTGCGGTTTTCACAGCAGTAATGCTGAGATTGTGCTCTTTTCAAAACTGTAAAAGAAAAAAAAAAATGACCAGGGTGGACAAACGACTCATTTAGCTTGATCACCTCACATTTGGAGTATACTTCAAGATTGATTATTTTTTATAGAAAAATTCAAGAAAATCGCCAGAGACTAGATAGCTTCAAGCTGTTAAGTTACTGATTTGGCGCTTGTTGTATATGGGTATAGAAAGTTTCAAGAGGGCATATGTGGCCGAAACAAGAAGGAGACACATAGCCCTGGCAGAAAGTCCCAGGAGCAATAGTGGGAAATCTAATTACTGTGACTATTGGGTGATGGTGCTGTCTGAGTACTGACTGTTGTTTAAAGATATAGTCCATCATTTGTAATTTGTGAATTTTTGTTCGTTTGAAGCAACAAAAGTGCTCAAAATCTAAAGAAGGGTACTGAACAACTAACCTGATGAAGTTTCAGCTCAGCTTCAGCTGTATAGTCCGAGAAAAACAGCATTCTAGGATCTCACTTTCAAATCAAAAGTTGCTGAATCATGTTTTGAATTGGGCCTGAATTCAGCGTCCGAGACACGTTCTCACTGAGCCGATTGCAGCTACGCGATGTCGCGCACTGATCCGACGAATTATAGCAACCGCGCGTGCGTGTGCATCGTGCCAATGCTTGTGCGCGCTTCGACGAATAACAAGAGAACTACTAATTTAAATTTCCTACGGTGCGTCTTACGAAGCACCGTTGGAAAGGCCTTCTTTCGTTGATTACTTCAAAATGACAGCTTGCCAGAAAGAATAATTTCACAGGGAGTTTAGTCCCCTTACTATCTTTCAACCAAGTATGTTTTTCAACAATAATTACGCCAGTTACTTTTCGGGTAGCTGCAAATGATGGACTATAGCGTTAATGATATTGGGAAGCGTGATCAAAATCCTTGTTTAAAAAGCACTGTGGTTGCCACCGCTTTGCTGTCGACAGATGCAGGGAGTCCACCCATTCTCTGGACTCCAAATCCGATGACTTCAACCAACCACAACGTAACCGAACCCCGACTTCCAGAAAAACTGGCCGCATCCACGTCTGTCTGTCTATGTCTCTTTGGTAGGGCAATATCTGGGGAGGAGGAGGAGGCAGTGGCTCGTCCTCGTCGCCGTCTCCGTCGCCAAGGCCCCAGGACTGGGACGACGGGGATGCGGGTCACCACGGCAACAATGGCGTCCCCGGCAACAACGGCAAGAAGAAGAAGCAGCGCATGCAGCGCGTGGACCGCAGCATTCTGGGTTTCAGCATCAACCCGGCCGCCCGCATCAACATGGGGGAGATTGAGACCTTGGATGAGTGAACTCTTGACCTCCGACCCCCCAGCCCTGCAGCTCGGCTTGGTTGACCTTGGACACGAATGATGTTGGTCCGTGGGACGTCGTTGCCAGCCGGCACTGTTGGTCGAGGCTCATGCCACAAAAAAATCGTAACAATGTCACAACTCTCAAAATTATACCTTGCCAGTGGAAATCCATTGCTACCTTTGAGTAGCCGTTTCTCGTTAGCCTTGAACCCGAGTTGTAGTCAAATTCCTTGCAAGTCAGTCACAAGTCCTTGAATCCTGGGCAAGTTAAGGTTAAGGCATTCCTTTGTCATCGTTCATCCCCTCTAACCCTAACCCCCATCAGGTATTCTTTAGGTACCCTGCTAAATGCAACAATATCCAACTTAACTCAAATGAGAACCCTGCTAAATGCAACAAACTGCAACAGTGTATTCTGTTGCATTGTGCAGTGAATCCAGTGCATACCAGCCTTGGCACCAAGCAGTTGCCCTGCTAAATGCAACCAACTGCAACAGTGGATAACTTGTATTGCCTTGGCACTATGAGCAGTTACCCTGCTAAATGCAACAAGATGCAACAAAGCACGGGGACTTGAGTTGCTGCTAAATTGCAACAGTATGCAACAAGTTTTTACCTTTGTTGCTTTCTGTTGCATTTAGCAGGGTAAGGGCTAAGGCCAGGTCTGAATCACGTGGCTATGGCCAGAAATAACACAGGAGTCTGTGGGAAGTAGTTGCAGCCACCAGCCAGTGGCAACAAAGCACGGGGACTTAGGTTGCCTGCTCAATGCAACAGTATGCAACAAGTTTTTACCTTTGTTGCTTTCTGTTGCATTTAGCAGGGTAAGGGCTAAGGCCAGGTCTGAATCACTTGGCTATGGCCAGAAATAACACAGGAGTCTGTGGGAAGTAGTTGCAGCCACTAGCCAGTGGCAACAAAGCACGGGGACTTAGAATGCCTGCTAAATGCAACAGTATGCAACAAGTTTTTACCTTTGTTGCTTTCTGTTGCATTTAGCAGGGTAAGGGCTAAGGCCAGGTCTGAATCACTTGGCTGTGGCCAGAAATAACACAGGAGTCTATGGGAAGTAGTTGCAGCCACTAGCCAGTGGCTTCTGCAGATGTGTGTGTGGTACTCCCGGCCGTAGGTAAGTGATTCAGATACGGCCTTATTTTATGACCTCACTTGTGGCTTGACTTGCGATATACTCGATTTCAACTCCACCTCTAATACCAGAGTGATCCTTCTGACAGGCTTCTGAATGACAATGGTACTTACTTTTCAGATTTCATTGGCATGTTCCTTGTTTAATGGTGCTGGCTTAAGTATGGCTTATTCTCAATATTGATAATGGTACATTTTGTTCTGCTCTTTCCCCAAAACTGTGTGGTGCCTTATTGCACATTTCAAACAAATTTCTAGACCTGACTCGTAATTCAATACTTACGTATCACAAAACGGTTAATTTGATTTTGATGATGATGATGATGATGACGACATACAAAGTTGACCCATGGAAGAAATTTTATAACGTGCGAATTCCAGGTCGAAAATAAGAATCTTTACCGTGTCATAACATCAGTTCTCTATTTACAAAAAAAAGACATAATTTGTGCATGGAATTTAAAAAAAAACAGTGTTGGTTGATAAGTAAATTTCACTACAGAAATATTTGTTGTCAACTTTGTTTGGTTCAGTTTTCATCGCAATCGCAACTATCATTGCATGTTTTGAACACGACCACGCCGTTCTCTCATTGGTCGACAATCGAAACATCAGTTCATTCTCGGAGCAAAAGCAAACGCAGTCACAAATTTGTGATGTCGCAGCAAAACATTTCAACTTTGGTAAAATCCACGGCGAGTGTTTTGCGACATCAAATTTGCTTCACGTTCACTCCTGCACCAAGTATGAACTGGGGCCAATTTCATAGAGCTGCTTAAGCACAAAATTCGCTTAAGCACAAAAACGTCTTGCTTAATAAAATCAGGTTTCCGGCCAAAACTCCATGCGATTGTTATGCTAAGTAAACAACCGCTAAATACTAGTCACAAGCAATGTACATCGCATGGAGTTTTGGCCGGTAACCGAATTTTAAAAAGCAATGTTTTTTCGTGCTTAAGCAAATTTTCTGCTCAAGCAGCCCTATGAAATTGGGCCCTGGACTTGACTCACGACAGCTGCTATCTTTGAGTGTGCATTCAGTTTCTTGTGGCACACTCTAATTCATGTTCAAACTCTTACATTGTGGAGTCGGCCATTTTGTTTTTGCAAGGCGACAGAAAATTTAACTTGATTACTCTCGGTATAAAGCCCTGTCACTTGTATGTATAAAGGTTTATGTTGAGCTTGTTGGTATAAGATGGAACTTGATGTTAACCTAAATCTCACGGCAGTACATGAAGATGTGATTTCCACTTGCTTGAAATTTCAGTGACAAATTTATAATTGAAGAGAAAAAAAAAATTGGGGTAAAACCTGCTGTCCTACTATACGAGTCATCATAACTCAACAAATAGAAGGTTTATGCTCGGTGAAGCAAATGCAGATGAATTCCCTGAAACAGTAAATGTCTTGAAAATTAAAAAAAAAGAAAAATGGAAATAAATATGCGAGTGGGTTTCTGCTGTATGTACTATCGTGAGATTGACAAATCAATAGACTTTATGAATAATTCAATATTTTTTTTTTCCCTAAGAGGGTTTTGCCCGCAAGAAATAATGACTAATAATAAGGTAGTCCCAGTTTTGTATCAACACAGATGTTTGGCCCCTTTGTAGCTAATCCTTATTTTAGCATGGAACACAAATTGTATATCCATCGGACTGAACATCAGTGGCATGGTCACATAATTATGAACGTTAGTTGTGGACTGCACGCGGAATAACCACCCCCGCTATGAAATAGCCATGTCCCAGCTTGGCCTTCCATGCTTTGTGAACGGGAGAGCCGATTGTCACTGGAGGGGTGTTAGTAACTGGCGGATTTGCTTGACTAATTGTGTTTACATTTCAAAGAAGATTTCCACTCTTCTGTATAAAGTGCATAATATCGGGGATTGTTAATAACCCATGCCCCGCCCTCTTCCCTTCCCAGCGAATAATTTGTCTAAAACTGTTGGTTCAGTTTCGGTCATAAGCGGTTTTGAGCACTACGTTGCATTACCGTTTTATACATGTTGGACTTTTGATGCTTACTTTCAGAATGCCATCCAGCTGGATACAAAGCTAGTAAGGCAATTCAATCTGGGACAATGAAAGCCCCAGAACATGCAGGGCTGCGTTCCACTTCGCTGGTACCCACCGCCCCAAAACAGGGCGCTGGGAAGGGCGGATCTCCTTGGAAGCACAAACGCGCAAAGCCAACTGCCTCATCTCATGCACGTACATTCTGTACGCGCGTGTCATGCGCAGGCGTTATTGTTCAAACAAATTCTATCCAATGAGTGCTGGAAGAAATTACGTCATGCATCCAGGAGAAATTAGCCCTTCCCAGCGCCCTGTTTGGGCGGTGGGTACGAGCGAAGCGTTCCACTCCCACCAACGTTCCAAACGTTCCCGATCATTTGTAAATATCTAATAGGAAATCATTTGCCAACGTTGGTAATGTATACGCAAGTGGAACGCACCCGTGGTGTAGTCTGGCCTTTTCGGGCCCAGAATGTTTTGCACCATCTTCTAGCCGGCACCTATTCAGCCAAGGTCTTCGGCAGCATCCGATTTGCTTGGCTGTGACTTGAAATTGCACTTGGGCCTATGGAAGTAGCCACAGCCACTTCACATAAGTGCATGTGTTTCTGTCGTCCGCAGCCAAGTAACTCCAACGCAGCCTGTTTATCTTTGAAAAATCTTGAAGGCGGAAATAAGTAATGATCTACAGCTTGGAATCCATTGACTGTTCTGTGTCAGTTGTTAGAAAATATGGGACATTGTGTATCATACAAATGGCACATGAACAATAAAGACCCCCTTTGTATTATTAAGCCCACTGTTGAGTACATGTATCTGTACAACAAATCTAAAGCTTTTTTTTTTGTGTTTCTTGTTTTCTTGGAGACTATGATGTTATTAAAGAGAAATGGGCCAGCGGTCCAACATTAAGAGAAATGTACATGTACATAGACAAAAACAAATTTAAAGACACATTAAAGTCATACACTTTGAAGAATATAAAACTTTTGTCATTGTGTAGCGGCTGTCATTTTTCTTGTGTGTGTGTGCTTACTTAATACCGTCAACGTGTTCACCAAGAGCCACACATGTGGATTTTAATAAGAAAAAGCGTTTTCGAGATAATCGCAAAAGAAGTTTCTCCTATTTTAAAACTGCAAAAAAATGCTACTTTGAAACAACTTTGTGCACTAAGGAAACCTGCCTAATGGACCATAGATGCCTAATGCACCATAGAACACATTCCAATTCGATTTCTGGATTGATCAGCTTTTAAAAGGATGTTTTGAGAAAAGTTTTGCAGTGAAAACAGTATAAAAAAAATTTCACCAAAAATTGATGATTTTAGCCGAAATCTTTTTTAAAATATTAGGTGGTTGAATGGTGATTGATGCTCCTCTCACCTTTAAAAGTATTTCTGCATAATTTGGAGAAAAGTCACTTTTTGGCCAAATTCCAAGAAAAAGTAAGGCTAACTTGTGGTGTTTTTTTTTTTCAATTTTGGACAAAAAATGAAATTGATTGAAATTTGCTGAGAAGATGCCTAAAGGACCCTAGAACACATTCCAATATATAATTTGTTTTTCTTCAAACAGGCCTTTTGCTTATTTTGGCGAAAATCTTTAAAATACATGTATAAGGTGTTTGAGTGCTGATTGATCCTCCTCTCGCCTTTAAAAGTATGTCTGCATAGTTTGGAGAAAAGTCATTTTTTGGCAAAATTTCATGAAAAAGTAAGGCTAACCAAAAAATGAAATTGCTTCAAACTTGCAGGAAAGATGCCTAAGGGACCCTAGAACACATTCCAATGTGATTTGTGGACGAATGGACTTTTCAAAAGAATGTCTGCATTGTTTTGGAGAAAAGTCAATTTTTGACCAAATTTCATTCAAAAGTAAGGCTAACCCCTTACATTTTTTTTTCAATTTTGGCGAAAAAATTAAATTGCTTCAACCTTGTAGGAAAGATGCTTACGGGACACTAGAACACATTCCAATGCGATTTGGGGATGGATGGACTTTTCAAAGGAATTTCTGCATTGTTTTGAAAAAGTCAATTTTTGACCAAAATTTCATGGAAAAAGAAAGGCTAACCCCTTGCATTTTTTCCAACTTTGGCCAAAAAATTAAATTGCTTCAAACTTGCAGAAAAAATACCTAAGGTACACTAGAAAACATTCCAATGTGATTTGTGGACGGATGGTCTTTTCAAAAGAATTTCTGCATTGTT